TTCACAACTCATCATTAACACGCCATTTTCCAGGTGCCCTCTCTGTCCTCGTTACCCTGTGGGCAATCCCTGATGAAGCAACCAAAATCTTTATGGAACATTTCTACTCCCACCTCAAGGCTGGTGACACCGTCAGCAGAGCCCTGCAGTTAACAAGGATTGCCATGCAGCAAAATGACAGATTCAGCCACCCTATGAACTGGGGGTCATTTCAACTCATTGGAGACAACCCTCGGCTTTTCCTTAAGGGAATACAAACTTAAGAACAATGTATATGCATTTCTTCATCATCCCCTTTACACTATGGACAATGTACTCTTTTTATTAGGAACCAGAGATTAATTGTCAAACACACTGAACACATTTCTTGCTAAAGGAGTAAGGAAATGAAAACACTCTACACTAATAAGAATTTTTCACTTGTAAGAGGGTGGTCTAATTTTCATTACTATTATTATTTTCATTCTGTTTAGTTGTTTGAAAATTGCAGGTATACTGATGAGCTTTGTTTAGTTTATATGCATGCATGTGTGGGCGTGCATGTGTGTGAGTGTGTGTGCATGGAGCATGCCCTCCTAATTGTGTTAATTCTAAATCATGTATTTTTGTTTATTTCATAATCGCACTGGGCAATCAGCTTGGTGCCTGTAGGCAGGCTGCACAGTTAAATTTGTTACACTGTTAAAATTACAGGTTCAATAATGATTATTATGAATATTTGGGTTTTTCTTGTACATGGTATATGTCCTATGGATTTTGTTGTTATCTTATTTGTTTAATATTTGTTTTATCTCTCATTCTGTACTCACTGTGCAATCAGCTTGGTACTTGTAGGCAAGATATCCAGATTCAGTTTTCCTCCATCGTGTGACTTAATATAGGCAAACTCCTCCAGGATGTCTATATCTGATTCAGCGAGTTAGGGGTTTGTGCCTTGGATAGCGAGAAAATTAAACCTAAAACTGGATCTTGTGTGGAAACTGAGAGCACTACTGTGGCCTGATGATAACTTACTTCCACAACTGTGAGACCTGGGAGACCTGTATTTGCCACATGACACTTGTAACAACTGCAAATCAGTTCACCTGAAGTTCCAAGGCCTTGTGATAAAGTCATTGTGATCTGCATTTCAATAAAAGATCCAGTTTTAGATTTAATTTTCTCATTATGTTAGAATAATATAACTGGATGAATCAAAGCATTCACTTTGATTTATGCCTTGGTTTAAATAACTTAGCAAATAATTACTGGGTGGATTAAGACCATCATATCTTGTGAAAGATCAGAGTTCCCATGTCCTTTAAGCTTTATATGGTTTTCCCAGATTAAGCCAAGAACATGACTTGTATGAATTACAAATCTTTTTGCTCTTTTCACTTCTTTGATCATGAAAGTATGATGTTTTTGGAATGTCTAGTTTCATTTCAGTTCATATCAAAACAAGAATGAATTATAGCTCAATATACTTTGCATTATCTCTTCTGAAAGGATACTTATTATGTAGTTGAAGAATAAATTGTATGTAAAGCACCCTTGAGCCTTGATCTTTTCTACAGCTTGCAAGAGGAGAGCCTCATGTTTTGGCCAATCATATTGTAGGAGAACAAGCATGTGACCCAAGGCCATGTCATCATTGGATGATGGTGAAAAGGCCTTTTCCTGAAATAAAATATATTTGTGTAGTTTACTATAATCGAGAGATAGTAAGCACATTTCAAAGCATCATTTTTTTTTGAGAAGATGCATTCAATGCAAAGAGCCATTATAATACTAGGGATAAAATTTATAACATTATTTCAACAACAGCAATTCTTTTTAATCAAATTCACCAATAATAATAATAATAATAATAATAATAATAATAATAATAATAATTCTGAATTATGGATGTGCAGTGTATTGCATGGGTGAAGAAAAAAAAAGTGAAATACAGACCTTGCAACATGCCAATAACATGTGAAGACAATATGGCATAATTTCTGATGATGTACAACGAAGCAAATTCATGTGGCGCCCCCTACCAGAGTGTACTATTTCTTGGAGCTGTGAAGGGGTGCTAACATCTGAGAAAGCCATATCACCAAGAATACCCAAAACTACATCACAACACTTCTGAAATATGGAACAACTTTTTCATCATTTCAAAGCCATTTTTTTTAATGTGGAAAGCTCATCGATCTCAGCATTGAAATATTTATTCTAAAATTTAACATTTCAACTGAAAGAGAAATTGTCAACTTACTGCTAAATTTCCCTGGCAAAAGTAACAGCTCGCTAACTGAAGATTTGTGCGGAGCTTGAAAACAGAAAAAACAAATTGAGTCACATATTATGGAATTAACTGGGTGTCAGGAACCAATAAATATGTGCAGATATACTGGGCATCTATTGTGGTCAGCCGAGAAAGAAGTAAATTTAGTAAAGTTGAAATTAAATTAAACTAAACTGGACAATATAGGATACGGGTAATTAAAGCTGTTCTTACGATAAAACTTCTCAAGCCTGAGAATAACTCTATCTCTTTACAACAGTAGGATCTCAAACCATGTAACCTACACCAGTACAGAAATATTTATGTTCCTGACTTTACAGAAAGTAAAATATCATCACTGCCATTTTTAGATGCTGTAGATGAAAATAATAATTGTGTTATATGTTTTTATCTACAAGAAAAATCTGCAAAAAATACAGTTGAAAGTTGTCATAAAAAGATTTAAAAACAATTGAATGGATACACTGAAATGACGTATCAATTAGTACATTTATCATGACTATATTAGCTAAGTACAGATATTACAATCTATTCTACCTTAGAGTCCTGTTTCTGAACCAACAACAAGTTGACGGCTTCTCTGTAACTGCCTTGGTACATCAACATATCCACCTCAAACATCTTCAACCACGCCCACGTCTCTGCTTTTAAATGACTGTGCAGCTTCTTAAAGTCTGGAAATGTAAATACAAGGCTATAAAATATGCTCTAATACATTAATATATGTCGTTTTCATTTCAATTTACCTGCATTAAGTACCTTCAAGTATGCATGGAAATAATCATTTCAATTGGTATGTTTTAGAATTTTTTATTTTCATCTCTTAATAGAGTCTTTTCCACGAAATCGTGAGCATGCGCAGTTCGCGCCATTTTGTGCGGGACTGTTTCTCAGGGGGAAAGAGTAGAAGGGGCCTACGGTACTTTTGTAGTATACCCCCCCCACCCCCACCCTGTAACTTTCTGTAACTTTCACTTTTCAAACAGTTTTTTACATTTTATTGTTTATCTATATCAAAGCTGTTGAAATAAAATGCTTTAGTAATTACCTGTGGACTTTTTATTAGTGTTAATCACGTTTAATCCAGCCCATTGAAATACAAAGTTAGAATCTTCAATTTACACCCGCAGTCAATAATTTGCAGCATTTTCGTTGGCTAACTCTAAGCTAATTTTATGTGAACAAGTAGCTCATAATAATTTCACAGAGGAAATCTAAGTATACAATGTATCAATCCTATGTTCACATAAAATAAGGTAGAGTTAGCCAACGAAAACGCAGCAAGCTGCGGTTACATTGTAAATTTTCACATTGTATTTCAATGGGGTGGATTAAACGTGATTAAAACTAATAAAAAGACCACAGGTAATTACAAAAACATTTTATTTCAACAGCTTTGACATAGGTGCAAAAGACACTGTAAAAAAATGTTTGAAAAATGAAGGTTTAAGGAAGTTACAGGGTGGGGGGTATACTACAAAAGTACCGAATGTCCTATCTTTGCTGTCGATTAGGTACGTTTTTAGTTCTTTCATTGAAAAGTCATCAGGTACTTCTGCTAATTTTCTATTCCAACTGCTCCCATGAATGTGTTTTCGAAAAAAATCAGGTGTTAACATGTTACGAAACTTTGAAAATTCAGATTGAAATGAGCACTCCTCGATATGGCGTCCGTCGTGTACACTCCACACTTTCCCCCTGAAACTTCAAATCCCGCAAAATCTCGCGTTCCCACGGATAATTTAGCGGAAGTCACGTGACCGTGGAAAAGCCTCTATTGCAAACAGCTTTGAGATTGATTTGGCCTAGGTAATAATGTATTAACTTATCATTATCCCCATCATCATCATAATTACTTTTATTATTATTATTATTATTATTAAAGATGCTTGTTGTACAAAAAACAAACTTATCTTTAAATGTCACTAATTATACTTATAATGAGCATCTTTAATAATAATAATAATAATAATAATAATAATAATGAACATGTGATGGATCTTAGTTGAAGAAATGGACAAGGACAAACATTTCAAACAACAAATATCAATATTTCCCCACAACTGTAGATTAATTGAATTACTGATCAAAGTTTTCAAAAATAGAGATCCAGGTTACACACCCTTCTCTAGGCTGTCCACATGCAGCAGCTCCCAACACTTGAATGCTGTCAACATATTCTGCATCAACACATTGGAGTCAGGAATATTGGAATTACTGTGGATCTGGGGTATGGTGCTTTCAACTTTCAGCTTTTTATGCTTGGGCCTAAAACAGTAACACAAATATATATATAACCATCATGATAATAGTGAATACATAAATGCATCAAATTGGCTAAATCTTATACAGATTTAGACCATAGACTGTCTCTTTGATATAACAACCCAGCTCCCAGCTATGGGCAAACTTCTTGACAATGCTTTAAAGTACTTGGCTGCCCAGAATGTGGCACAGTAACTATAATTTCAACTACTGCCATGAAGTCACATACTTGATGCTGTTCAGTTGTCCGTCTAAAATAAAATTCATCATATTTAATAATTATATACATACAGGGTGCATAATCAAAAGCTAAATGCAGCTCCAACACTTCACAGAGGGGAAAATTCATACATAAAGCCTCCTCAATGCACTCCTACTCCATAGCTTTCTGACTTAATTTCACAAGTCTTGGTGAAATCGCAAAATTATATACACTTACCCATGCACCCTTCCTTCATCTCCATCAGCCTTAAATCCTTCCATTAATGCAATGGACTCCAGGTGATTACTGCTACCTGAAATATAACACACTGACGTATTTCAAAACTTTTTATCTTGTTAAATTTTTAATAAAAAACTTCCAGACATTTTGTCTAGAGTTTCAAGTCTCTAATCTTGGGTTTTCAAAACTGCACAAAAAGACTGATGTGTAAAAAAAAGAATGAGGCATTTAACTGTAAAGTTAAAACTGCAGCAAAATAAATATGATTTGTTTAATCAAGTGAACATAATATACCTGGCTTTTTGGACTCCCTATACCCCAAATCCTGGGGAAACCCCTGATTTCTAGGTACCAAATGTATGCAAGCATACTATACCTGTAAACAGCCCAGAATCCATCCTAGTCTGGTAGTCATGTATACACTGTAGTAGTAATATTAGAGTACAGTACAACAGCTGTCTGTGCAGGCCACTGTGATCTGACTGCTGACACTTGTTATGAAGGAGGAGAATTTCTTGCCACTGGGCTTCTCGACTGAAAATAAAATTAGGAAATGATCAGATATGATCTTTTCAGTTTTAAATAACAGAGGCATTAAGTAGAATACAGAAAAGCTGGTGATTTCAAGAATATGTTGAAAACACGGAAGGTGTGTCATTCAGTTCAGCTGATTGCACTCAGCGACAGTCTCTGCTGAGTTGGATTAATCTTTGTAGACAGATGGTGCCTATGGGGATGGGGTCTAAGATGGTCACAATATTTATGACCCAAGCCACTGCAGGGTCTGGGACAGGTGTGGGGGGGGGGCAGGGGGGGGCAGGGGGGGGGCAGGGGAGGCAGAAGCGAGTGTGACAGTCTCTGGGAGGTTCCTTACCTGGTCTTCATAAAGAAATCCCCAATCTCCCACCCCAGCTGTTGCCCTGTTGCCGTGACGATGTCAAACAAAGTCTGCCAGGGACGTGGAATGTGACTGTCCTTCTCAGCAAGTCCTTGGATGGCTTGGAGACGCTTGCCAGAGAAGGACATTGTTAGTTTCTTTGTTGGAGACATCATATCTGAAAAGGCAAAAGAAAAAACAATATTTAACTTAATATTTTATAACATCCATAAAAGTTACTTATTAATTCAAAATTAATTCTTATTCATAACTGATCATAAATTTGTCTAACTTAGTGCTAATGATTAATTTTTTAATCTCTTTATCAATCAAAAGAATATACTACACAGCTTAAAGGGAAAAATTCAAAAACAAAAAAGACAAGTAACATTTATGCAGATTTACCTACAAATAAAACTTTAAAATCCCCTGACCATAAATCATATATTAAATTAACTTGCTGGTTCAATTAAAAACTATACACAGCTATGCCAAGTAGAGTTTTGCCTGAAAAGTACCACCCAGCACCAAAAGATGGCAGCAGTGTTGACCTCAATATCCTACCTGGAGAAGATAACCCAGCATCCAGAGGAGGGGGCTGCGTTATATAGGAGATGTAAAACTCGATGCTTTTCTGCAGCCACTTGTAGAGCTGTTTGTGTGCCAGGCTGGCCTCCTTGCAGTTCAGCATGATGGGAAGCAGGTCATGAACTGAAGAGGAAAATGGGTGGAAAATATCAGAAATAAAATGTTTTAAATAAACAGGGTTGGTTGAGCATTTAGCAAATTAGGTTGTACTTTGGGGCTTAAAATGTGTTTTTGGTGAGTTTTTGTGCCTACTTTGACTTCACACAGGATGAGATCATGTCATATTAAGCTCAAAGTGTGGAGTTTCTTTCCAATTTAAAACAAAATTTATATTCCTAAGGGGTTGATTTGTAAAGCAAAAAAGAAAGTCTCAAAAATCTCACAGAGAAGCAAGGAGACTACCAGTACCATTTTAATGAAAGCATTTCAGTGTGGCCCAATGGAGTATTGAATCCAGAACCTACAGATCTGGACGCCATGAGTGCAATTCTATTGTTGACAGTTGTCATACAATTCTTACCCAAGTATTTCCTATAGCAGTTGAGTGCAGTGTGGAAGTGAGCATGTTTCTCTGCTGATAGAAGACTCTCAGCCAAGTTCACCTAGAGACAGACATTAATGAATATGTAAACCTATATCTAAATATGTATGCACAGCTAGCCTTCTGGCAGCTTTTTTCTTCCTTCATGTGAAATCATGAATTCCTGTGCTACTTTTTTTCATAATATAAATTGACCATAAAATTTATGACAATGTAGCCTGGATTTCTGAGGAGAAATATTATGACAAAAATCTATCCTATCTATCCTGTCATCAGATTGCCAGTTTTAAAAACAAAGCAAATGAGGAAAAAATCAATTCAGGTTTTTCATTCTCTCATGTGTAAAAGGTGATTAGAAAAAGCAAATTTTCTCAAAAGAGACAAAATTTTTTTAACTAGATTCCATTTGTTCCGATTTCTCACCCCTGTGTCCGGAACAAGATCTGGAAATCTTCTCAATATCAATAATGTGGCTTTACACTGGTGGAGGACATCTTGTTTCTGACTGATCACAGACAGTAGCATCTGGCGCTGGGTCTCAGCAGGCAGCGCACTGAATATATCTGCGATAGTGGTGTCAGTATACAATAAATAACACACACACACACACACACACACACACACACACACACACACACACACGTGCACAAATAAACATGATCTTGCACATCGTCTGGCCATTTATAGGTGATGACAAATATAGCTGAACAATAAATCTTAAAGACATTCTGAAGCTATCTCTTTAATTTCTTTTTTTTTTTCAAAAGGCAAAGAAATACTACTGTTTCAAGGTTAAATTGTATGCACACTTATAATTATAACTACAGATGAACAGAACTAAAACATTATATATACAGAGCTTTCATTCATCAGCTACAGTAAAATTAATAAATCAGTCTCAAAATGAAACAGAAACCTTTATACAGTGCTGTCTTGGGATCAGCGCCCTCTGCCTGTAAAGCATCAGAGACAGCCTGGAGTTCCTGGTTCAGGCGAGGCTCTTCTTTGAAACTACTCAACCTGGACAAAAAGGAATGGCTTTTCTTGACATTGGAAATTATTATTTCAATTCAGTATGAATTTTAAATGATAAATACACAACCCTGACTGTTTCCTATTTGTGTAAATTACAGTGTAAGAATCTTATTTTATTTATGGAAACTTACATGTACATGTATCTGAGCCATGGCAGTCATCAGAACAAAGACACTTCATGAGCAACAAAAGAGAAACATATTTGCTACAGAAATTTTTTTAAAAAAGAAAATCTCAGAAAGGTAAATCTAAGAAGAGTTTCTGGAAAATCTAAAATGTGTGATTCCTATTGAAATACAAACCACATACATTTCCTGTAAGTCTTTTGCAGCAAGTTTGATATTCCTGGCATTCTTTTCTACTTCATAGGCTTCAAACTGAAAACAGGGAGTATGTACAAGCATTTTAAGAGCCAAATACCAGTAGGTGCAAAAGGATGTCATAACACTGTGAATTTTTGTGCAGAATCATTATCAGAACAGCGGTTGTGTACAGGTATTCTGGGCAATAAATAAATAATAAACAGTTAGATAAAATTATATTCACACGGTTGCAGCTAAGATATTTTATTTTTTATCAAATGTGTCACTTTAATGGGACGTAACCCGGTCCCATGATTTAAAGGTAAATGTAAAGATTCGAGTTTATTTTTAGACTGGGTTGCTTTATTTGCCATTCCAAATGTGATCCAATTCCTTGGAAAAGCAGAGTAAGTAAGGCTCGTACTGTGTTACTGAGACCGACTAGAGTTTTGCATCTTAACGATGCTGAATTCTATGCCGATATCTGGCTTATAGACATTTCTCTGTACCTTTATATCAAAATTTTGTGGGAACAAAGTACGGGCTGTGATGAGCCATGCTTTTGCAGCGCACCCATCTGTTTTCAAGCAGCTTTTTGCACGATGAATTAACCAACTTTCTGGTCGTAAGGAAGTCACGTCCTCTTCCATGGAGGCTGCCATTACTGTAAATAACCTGCGTAGATCTATATGCGCAGATGTTACTTCCCCATTTCACGCACTGTTTTTAGAGGTAATTAGAAAATACACAAGAGCAAAAGATGAACGCATTTTCATAAATATTTCATCAGAATCGCTCAGGTTATTCAGTGGACAGACTATTGCGTTATCTACTGTAGAAACGTAGATATAACAAAAAGTAAACCGGAAACTGCACTGAGGATTGTGGGTTGGCGGCATCAATGCGACTCATCTTCAGACAAGTGCGACAGTTTGGGAAAATGGTAAGATTTATGTTGCTGTCATGCAACTAATTACCTTTTAATAGCAGCTGCAGGCGTTGATTTATTTACAAGTATAGACTGTGGCATCATATGTTGTTTCAGAAGTCTACAGGATAGCAGGTTTTTATGCCTAAATCTAGATGTCTTTTCGTCGTCTCTTGAATAAATAGTGAGAACAGCCATTTATTTCAACTGTCCTAAGATAAGATGTGACGCCAAACATATCTGACATACTTATCAACCTCTCAACATCTGGTTTTATCTTGCCTCTGTTATTGCTGTCATTATTATTATTGTTCTTATTATTAGTAATAGTACTAGTACGCTATGGGCATGATGTTGACATATATTATAATTCAGTTTGCTTTTTGTGCAAGATGGTGATGATTGATAATTCACTTATGTTGTCTAAAGTTCTTGGTTTTTCTTATTAATTTATTGTATTATTTGTTTGTTAAATGTTTGGTTTGAACAATAAATAGATTTCTGAAAATAATAAAACAATGGAAGGAAATAACATTGCACTAAAAATCAATCATGTTTTCAAAGGCATCAGAGGCAAAGAGAGCCAAGCTAACCGCAGAGGAGAGAGACTCTGTCCTCTCACCTCTAAAATCAGCTGGCTGGGTCATGGTGGATGGGAGAGATGCCATTTACAAAGAATTCATGTTCAAGAATTTCAACCAGGTTAGAATTAAAGTGTTCCTTAATGAGGCTGAATTCAGTTCTTCATTAACATTTTTCTTTGGACAGCAGTTATAGAGTATTATACAATTTAATTTCTATTTTGTCATATAGTGGTGACTGAAAAGTTCATAAATATTTTTATATAATATATCTTAAATAAAATCAATACAGTGTGTTTAGATAATTTCGTTCAGTGCAAATGTCAAGTAATTTTTCATTTTTCTTATTTATAAATTTATTTATTTATTTATTTTTTTGGCAGTGGAATTAAGAATAAAACAAATGAACAAAGAATAAAGCAACCAAATGCCCTTGATGTACTTAAATTCAAAGAGAATTACCTAATACATTTTCAGTGCAGTTAATGCAATAATAGATAAAGTTACAGATGCTGGGTTATCCTTACTAAATAATCCTCAGATTTAAGTGGTTAAAATAACGTTTCAGAAGATGAAATTTTTGCTTAAGTAACCAAGCTTTCATGACACAATTGATCATTCCATAAACATATTTTATTGTATTAATTCCCAGGCCTTTGGTTTTATGACCAGAGTGGCCCTCCTGGCAGAAAAGATGGACCACCATCCAGAGTGGTTCAATGTCTACAATAAGGTAAGGAATACCACCTATCAAATCATCATCATCATGAAGGAGAACTTAACTTTTTGCTCATTGTTCTTTAACCAGTCTACCTTTGATCCACCTTTCTTGATCCTTTCCATATAATTTCTCCTTTCCTTATAAACCTGTAACATTCTGGGAAAACTAGAAACTTACGCTGACATGATGGTTTTCACTACCCCCCCCCCCCCCCCCAACCTCAGTCACCCACTGGCTTATGCACACCATAAATCTCATGAAATAAGTGGTAAATTGGATTATTTTTGTGACATTAATTCATGGCATTTATCTGTTAAAACATTATCCAAAAGTGTTGCTTGTCCTCAAAGTTCAGGAAAGAGTGTTTTATTCACTTAACATTTGTTTAACTTTTAAATTGTAGTACACTTTCATTTTAATACTGTTTACATTTTATTTCAACTTATTTGATGTATATTGAACCACACTCATCCAAATTATATACTAGTACATTTGGAAGAAAATAAATTATTGTCATTGGCAAATTTGAATCACATTTCTGAACAATTACTTTTTCCCCAGGTTCAGATAACACTGAGCACTCATGATGTCAGTGGTCTGTCGGACAAAGATGTGAAGCTGGCCAACTTCATTGAAAAGGCAGCCCAAGTCCAGTAACCATTGATACATGTAACCATGGGTACAAGTTGCCATGGAAACATGGTAACTAATTTCATTCCACTCAACAGCATAATAGCAGTGCATTTTTGATTGTGTTCATCTACTAGTATTAAAATGTATTTAAGAAGTGTCATTTTTTGTGATTGCTAAGGTATCATGTAAGTGCTTCATGCTCTTTTCAAAACATCTTTTGAAGCAACACAAATGGGATCCTCTAAGTTTTCATCAATATTAAAATAAAAGAATGTATTATGAAGCTTAAAATATTTGAATAGTGTCCTTTTTGGCAATTCGGTAACTTAAACAATATCTCCACAGTTTTATATTGATATTTTTTTCAATGAGTATGAATTCATGCATTAACATGTTATCTGGCTGATCAATATTTAAGTGACCGGGGGCCCTGTTTAACAAAAGCAATTTAGATGAAAAAATTGGTCTAAACTTTTTATCTATCCATATAGGTTGTCCACTTCACTCCCATTTGCTTTCAAATTGTTGACTAATGATTTAATAGGGTTATTATACCTTGACACCAGATATAGTCCACATAAAAGTTTTAGTAATAGAACCATGAACTTTGTTAGAGATCAATACTTGAGTGAATTACTCTGAATTTATCTCACTGACACTGAAGTAGACCAAGTTCTTGTGTTCTAAAAGTTTAGACCAATTTTTGGGCTAATGTTCTTTTGTTAAAACAGCCCTGTTGTTAGCTTTTATTTAGCTTTAATTTAGAGATATATAGCTATTTGGTATAAATATTTTGATGTGTTAAAACACATTAGGACACTGATTTATGGAATTAACTTTTTGTCTTGTTCAGAAGAGTCAGTTTAGGGGATCTTTCTAAATATGTGTTTTTCATGTGAC